ACGCTTGTCACACGCGCACGCTGTGACAGCTTTTGCTGCAGCTGGAGTTCCTGCTATAACTCTCTCATTGCAGGAGCACTCTCTGCGTCTGTTTCGTCACTTGTAGATGGAGGATTTCTTTTTTTTTAAGATTTATTTATTTATTATATATGAATATACTGTAGCTGTCTTCAGACACACCAGAAGAGGGCATCAGATCTCAATACAGATGGTTGTGAGCCACCATGTGGTTGCTGGGATTTGAACTCAGGACGTCTGGAAGTGCAGTCAGTGCTCTTAACCACTGAGCCATCTCTCCAGCCCGATGGAGGATTTCAATGGTTCCAAGATCTTGTTTTTTTGTGAGGGTTGAGTTATGAGTCTGTGAGTTGATAGTGAACCCTCAGGGTGGCATTTGGCACATAGACGATGTTCTGATGACAATAGTCCCCAAATCTACCTTTCCCCTCCCACAGTGAACAGCAATCCTCTGCCCCACAGGAATGTCTTCTGAGGGTTCACAATTTGCAGGCTGCTTTCCATGGAGCCAGCTCCCCTGTGCATTTTCCAGTCTTGTACCATCCTACTGGTGACAGCAGTGAGTTCCTAGAGAGAGCTGAAAAGGTCCCCCTACCCCTGTTGATAGAACTGAACGACTCAACCCCCTTCCACCCAGCTCCAGTACTAAGGCTAAATCAGTAAAGAGGATTAAATGGCTAGTGGGGGATACAGATGTTCCGTGGCCTGTAACAGCCGTATTTCACCAGTCTCTGTTTGTCTGGACTACTCCTTCCTTGAAAGGTTGGATTTTATGGTTTCACAATCTACTTGAAGCACTAAGACAGCCTTACAGTCAAGCTAATTAAGGCCTCATTTCCAAGCAGGGGTATTGAAGGTGGGCTGAACCTGTAAAAGTGGAGTCAGCTTTTGATAGCTACAAGTTATTGCAGTAAAATTGTGGGTGGGAGGAAGAATGTGGGAGGAAGCTGTCATTTCTGGAAGCCAATCGGGTTGGCTGCAAAGAGGAAAGGGTCATGCAAATAAGGTGTCCCAGTCCTTTCTTCAGTCCAACGATTCTTGAACTTAATGATTTTTAACATCTAATTCAAGGAGAAATTAGTCATTAGGCATTAAGACAAGCAGGAAGACTCCTGTCTTAACAAAGAGCCCTTCCTGCAGAATGGAATGAACTCCAGAATAATTAAAAGCTTGCAGGAGTGCAGAAATGTTCTATTAACTGAAGTCGCCTTCATGAAATGAGGGCCCTTCCCACCCCCCGAAACAGATCATGAAGACTATGATGAAGAGTTATGGTGCTACTGAGAGGTCTAAAGAGATGTGGCAGTTGACCCAGATCCTCATCAGTGTCAATCTGGAGGCAGATAAACTTGGCTGTCGGAGGCTCCAGGTGATGTGATCCAGGGAGAGCACAAAGCTTTTCATCCTTCTGGAGTCACACTCGGCAGAGACTCCATTCTAACTGAGGACATGAAATACACAGTGAGAGCATGCTACCTGGATTGTCCCAACCCTGCCCTGGGCTTCCAGAATTTAGATGCCATCATTCCAAAAGAACATCGTTGACTAAGTAGTTGTGTCTGCCACTACACAACAGCAGCCAGGGTTTTCCTGGTCACGCTCACCCGGTCCCAGTAGGTCCTGTGATGACATGGTGTGGTCCATACTGTTCTCTCTGTAGTGTGTGGCTATAACCTACCAGAACCTTGTAGTGGGTAAAGAATAGCCCCATGCTTGGCACACACGCTGTCTCAACTTTGCCTTGGCTCATCAACGATGATTGACCATGATGGATTCTTCACATCCAAGACACCTTTGGCTGTGAAGACCAGAGCACTCTCTGTGTATGTCTGTTGTGTTCATTTTCTGTATTTGTTAAGCTACATTTTTAAACACTGCAGAGTCAACAGTTCTCTGAGTATTTGTACTACACTTAAAAACAATATGGATTTAACAAAGGAAAGTTTCTTAACATTTAAACACAGATCTTAAAAGCAAACACTCCTAGGCATTTATTTGAAACGATACTTCTAAAAAGTCAGATTGCCATAAATGTTTAAAAGGCCGGTAAAGTATACAAACGGTGTGCCCGTAAAGACCAGGAAGCTCTAAGCACAGTGTACTGACATGAAGTGCGAGGCCCTGAAGCTGTTCGTTTGCCACCTTTGTTCATACCCTTTCTAAAGTTTTGGCTTTAATTTTGTGTGTGTGTGCTTTCAGTTAACCCTAAAGCTGCCTTTCCAAAGCTTCAGAAACACGTGTCAAGCAGCCAAGGCCACCATCTCTGGTTATTGTCTAAATCCCCTTGGACATCAGATCCATGGCTCTGTTCACAGTAATCCTGAGCTTCCAGTCCTCTGGTCCAGTCCAGTGCTGTAACTAAACCCTTAAATCCTCCTCCTCTCGGGAGAGTTTCACTTTGGAAACTTGATATCTTTCCCAGGGATGATAAATTTTAAGTTTTGTATAGCTGCCAGTCCCCGGCCTATTGTTCTGTCATTTTGATGCATGGAGCTTGTCTGTTAGCGTTATTAAAAACTTATGTGTCTCCTATTATTATTTTATTCTAATTAGATGGGCCATTTGGAGGTTTTGTCTCCTAGGAGATGCAATTGTGCCTGTGTAATTTAGCTCTCTTCTTTAGGACAGCTGGCTAATTCATCACCTTGGAGTGCAGGGTTAGGTTCTCAGCCCACCTGTTTATTTTATGTGGCCATAGGCACTTAGTGGGTTTTTCTAATACTTAATCTCTGTGTCTGATCTTTTCCATGTGCACAGAGAGAAACAAGTACACCCTGTCACTGTTCCTTGTTTTCGTCAGTAATATGAGTCTAGTAAAATAAGGTTCCCCCTTTTTGAGATAGGATCTTGTGTATCTCAGACTGGCCCCCAAATACATTATATAGCTGAGGATAATTTTAAACTCCTGATTCTCCTGCTGCTGCCTCCCAGGGTCTAGGATAACCAGCATGTGCCACACCTATTTTGGGCAGACTTAGAGACAAGGCTTTGTGCATGCTAGGCAAGCCACTCTCCCAACTGAGCCAGATTCCCAGCCAGCCCCATGTCTAATCACAAACACACCACTTGGACAGTGTTTGCAGTAACCCGAATTTCACTTCCATCTTTACTATTTATAGAAAATGATTTGTGATCTACATAAGACTTGTCTTCAAATTAATTGAAATCAGTTTACTTGTCTTAAGCCACGGCACTCGGTGAATCAGCTATATTCGGTTAATTATTTTGTAAATACCACTGGCTTCCATCTGTGTGAGATCTACATCCACAGACCTAACGCACCGCTGACTGAAACACAATCCACAGAAAACTGCATCTATACTGAAGAAGTACACATCTCTCTCTTGTCATGATCTCCTTACACAGTGCGCTCTAGCAACTACTTGGGTAGCATTTGCCTTGTTCTTGATGTAAGTAGCTTAGAGATGACGAAGGTACATGGGTGTGAGTTACAGACAAGTAGCGTACTGTTCAATATGATAGATGTGAGCATATATAGATTTTGGTGGCCAGCAGACGCACCAAACTAAGTAAAGGTGGAAGGACTGAGGAGATGGTTCAGTGGGTAAAATTATTTGCCATGTAATTATAGGAACCTGAGTTTCAATCCCCAGAATGTCCATAAAATCTGGATGAACAGGACAGGTGTCTAACTTCATGGAGATGGGAAGTAGAGACAGGATTCTCAGCAGCTCTGCAGGCCAACTAGCCTGCTGTATGTCGTAGGGAAACAGTGAGGAGATGACTGTCTCAAAATAAAAGGCAAAGACTGACACCCAAGGCTGTCCCCATACACATGCTTTGACATACATAAACCTGCATACCACACACACAGACACACACACAGACACACACACACACTAAATCAAGTAAAGGTGTCAATCCTGATGAGACAGGTCTGTTCTAGAACCATCCAGGATATATCACCACAGCATAACTGAGGAGAGCTAGTTGAGGACCACTTGGCGAGGATTCTAATATCTAGACTCCTAAGCATTGTCTTTATTTTCAAAGTACCAAATCTCCAATTTTTAAAAGCGTCAGTGTAAGAGGAAGTGTCTGTGGCTTATGAAACCATACTGTAAGGAAAATAGAACCCAATAAGCAAGATGAGAGCGTGCAACCTCCACACACTGTCGAGCCCTGACAAGATGTCACATGGTTCATAAGCTTCAGAGTGTCAAAAGCCAACTCTCCTGGATCCTTAAGAGCCTGTGGCTGTCTGGGAGCCTTTTCCAGGATGGTTGAATAATGAAGAAAGACCTCCTGGGAGGGAGGGAACCTGTGTGGTAAAAGTTTGAGAAATCCCAGACTCCTTATAAAAATCTAAGCTGATCCCACTACTTACTATGTGGGGTATGATTGAATCAAGGTTGATAACCCAGACCCCTTGGGATGCTCCAGCTCTGCAAGTGACAGCTGACCAGGGAGTGGAGGGAAGGACTTGATTTGCTCATACCTATTTTGTAAAGGACAAGAACCTCCTCTCCTTCTTGATACCAATGACATCAAACATATTCTTTCAGTATACATACAGAACATAATTCTAAATGTTGATCAAACGGTGGGCCTAAATATTTCCATGTACAAAATGCATAATATATATATTACAGTTGCCACTTTGGAAATCAAAATCCCAAAATGATTTCCTTTTGGAATAGAGTGAGGGATGAAAAGTTCCTGTAATTGCTTAAAAGATCTTTGACTTGAACCCCTGAAGTTATGGCATAGAAGCGAGATAGAACAGCCTGTTTTGGTAGAAAATGGCTTAATTTGTGGGATTTCTGTTGTGGTTTAGAAGCCAGAGTTTTCCGTTACAAATGACCTACAGAGTGTAGATTCTGGACTGAGCTCCCCAAGGATGCTCAGTGAGGTGTTGTTAAAGAAATGCTCCAGAATGCATCAAGGAGGGGTTTAAGGAGGTCTTAAAGTAGGCACTCAACATGCATGACCTTGACCTTGCTTTCTGTTCTTCCTCACAGTGATCCCCAAGGTCACCAAGCACCTGCTCTCAAACCCTGTGTTCACCTGTATTGTCCTGGCTGCTTGCATGGAGATTGCTGTGGTGGCCGGCTTCGCTGCCTTCCTGGGCAAGTACCTGGAACAGCAGTTTAACCTCACAACTTCCTCTGCCAACCAGCTGCTCGGTGAGTGGCTCTCATTGCCCTTCTGCTGCTCAAAAAAATGTGCAGGACTATGCTAAGTCAATAGCCATGGTATATGTGTATCCTTTCTACACAAGGAACTTCAGAGTGATATTTTTACAACTATTAAAAACATTCTATAGGGCCAGTGAGATGGCTCAGCAGGAAGAGCATCTGTTGCTACAGGCTGACAACCCACATTCAATACCCAGAACCCAGGGCTGGAAGAGAGAACCAACTCTAAAGGTTATCCTCTAAACACATGGGATGCACACAGGCAGAGTAATACTACTAAAATAAAAAAAAAAAAAGACCACATTATAAGAAAGAAGAAAGGTATATAATGTATATGTAGGAGGCATTGCAAGAGGCCAGGAAGTCACTTGCCTAACATGAATGAGACATTTCAAAGCATATATGATGGAAGAGAGCAATGGAAGTCCATCTTAAAAGATAAACAGATTTTTATTAGACAATGAGAATGCTCTTAGCAGCATAAAACCCACACAAATACAGAGCTTGGAAGATAGATCCATGTGCTGGAGAGATTGTTCAGTGGGTACAGCTTGCTGCATGAGTGTCATACCTTACCTTGATCCCAGGAACTCACATGAAGATGGAAGAAGGCAGCCAGCTCCACAAAGCTGTCCTTTGATCTCAAAATATACCAGATCACTCCCCCATACATACATATGCAATAATATTTTTAAAAATAAAGTTAAGAAGGCATGCCCATGCTGATGACCTTGCCCGTGGCAGGCATAACTAATGGATCACAGAATTGTCCCCAATCTGAAGCCAGGCTTTACAGTTCTTCTCACCAGGCGTCTACTTCTTCTAATCATTTGAAGTTGAGCTAAGAAAACTAACCTGCCCTCACAAGAAGCAGCATTGCTGAGGTGGGATGGACAGTATGCTCACAGAGTGTGTCTTACTGCTTTTCATGTGGGATGAATTGATTCTTCACTCTTCGAATGACCAACAGGGTGCATTAGTTGAGTTGATCATCTCAGAACTTGACTAGGAATAGTGAGAACGAAGCAGTTGAGGAGGATGGAAGAGTCTGCAGTGATGACTTCTGCTGTAAACTTGCTAGGAATGATACATAATTGATGATGTCCTGCCCTCCGTTGAGGGCTGAAGACGGGATCATGGTTCATAGGTATAGAATGTTAGAACACTGAAGATGAAAGTAGATGTCTAAGCAGTGAAATAGAAGGGAATTGCAGAAGAAAGGGAATCTGAGTGGACAGCCCTTGATAGAGAACTCAGCTATCCCTCTGAAAGGGCAGAGGAGGGCTGTGTGATTAAGGCTGCTGAGTGCAACATATGGCCAGGTGACAGAGAGGGCTCCCACCCCTAGACTTCATCTTCTTTGTCAAAGGGGAAGAATAGGAGGGTTTTCTTATCTTACCCTTTAACATCTCCTGAGGTGGGGCTGGAGAGACAGCCCTGCAATTAATAGCACGAGTGGTTCTTGCAGAGGACCTGGATTTGATGCCCACATAGTGGCTCATAGCCATCCATAGCTCTAGTTCTAAGGGATCCTGCACCCTCTTCTGACCTGCAGATGTCTGGAATACACAGGGTGGTGCATGCATATACATTCAGGCAAAGCATGCATACCTAAACTCAAAATCATAAATCTTTTTTGTTTGTTTGTTTGTTTGTTTTTCGAGACAAGGTTTCTCTGTGTAGCCCTGGCTGTCCTGGAACTCACTCTGTAGACCAGGCTGGCCTCGAACTCAGAAATCCGCCTGCCTCTGCCTCCCAAGTGCTGGGATTAAAGGCATGTGCCACCACCGCCCGGCCAAAATCATAAATCTTAAAAAAATTAGTTTGATTGGCAAAGCCCCTGATGCCTGTGTATGCATATGTGATCTTGGGTGCCCAGCACCTACTTAAAAGCCTGGGGAGGCAGGGCATATCCATAACCTCACGACTGAGGGAAGGAGAGACTGACAGATCCCCAGAGTTCACTAGGTAGCCAGTCTAAACAACTGGCAAATGCTTGGATTCAGTGAGCTACTGCATCTCAAAAAGTAAGATGAAGGGGCTGGAAAGATGGCTCCATGGTTAAGAGCGCTGGCTGCTCTTTGCGAGGTCCTAGGTTAAATTCCCAGTACCTACATGGTAGCTCACAGCTGCCAATAAGTCAATGTTGAGGGGATTCAGCGCTCTCTTCTGGCCTGTGGGCATCAGGCATACATATGGTACATAGGCATACATTCAGGAAGTGGCCATAAAAGCAAAGGACGCTAACCAGCATGGGTGATGAGGGACATGCACATTGAAACCTAAAGGGGGCGCTGTGATGCACTGAGCAGATGAGAGTGCTGAGTGCTGGGAAGGGTGAGGAACAACTGGAACCCACACTGCAGTGGGAATGCACAGAGGAGCCTCTGCTTCGGGCAGTTTTTGCAGCACCCATTAAAGCTCAGCATATGCCTGTGCTATGATCCATCAGTTCTGCTTCTGGGCACTTATCCAACAGAATCGAGTGTTTAGGTCCACTCATTTACATATACATATATAACAACATTCAGAGCAGCTCTATGCATAATTATCTCAAACTGGAACTAACCCAAATGTCTGTCTACAGCAGAATGGGTAAATAAACTATAGACTGTTCATTCTATACCATGCAGCTAGGGAAAGGACGAAGTCTCACACAGGCTTCCATAGGAATATATATGAGTTGAAAGATGTCACACACAAAGAGAATGTATTTATGGGACAAAAAAAAAAAGGATGAATTGCCAATTAAAGTAAAAGAAGCCAGAACCACAGTGGTCCTTGAAGGTTACAACTACAGAGGGGTACCCTGGAGCCTCCTAGGTGGCTGCAAGTGCACATGTGTGTGTACATGCGTGTATTTATGTATGCATTCATGTGTAGACATGTGCAGTGTGTGTGCACGTGTGTTATGTACATGTGTATACAGGTCCACATTCACACATGCTCATGTGGAGGCCAGGGGTCAACAGCAGGTGTCTTCTTCAGTCCCTCTTCATCTTAGTTTTTGATGCAAAGTCTTTTTCACACTGAACCAGCTGGCCAGTGTGCTGCTGGCCTCAGCCTGTCTCCCTACAACTCAGAGCTGGGATTCCAGATGTGTGCTCTTATTCCTGGCTCTTATGAAAGTGCCAAGGATCAAGCACTCCCAAGCCCCAAAGTATCTGGAATTGGTCTAAGCTTGACCTGAGTGCTGGTTATGGAGGTGTCACCACACCCAATTTTCCAAATTGGAAAGTTCACCAACGTGGTCTTTGTGTGTTTCACAGGATAGAACATAATAGTTTAAAAAGAATTTAAACCCTGATCATCATGGCAACATACCACAGTTTTCTCTCCCTAGAAACTGCTGGGGAATGCAGGCTTCCCCCACCCCTGACTAATCATTCTTACCATCCACTTTTTGGTAAGTCTTAGTAAATGCAATCAGCTTTTCAATGCCTGCAGGACAGAGGAGAAAACCATCTGCCCCTGTAATATAAGCTATAGTTTTTGTTGTCTCAAGAATCTGGGGGTTAGACCTCCAGCACCCCAGGGTTTATCTCTTAACTCCTGGCTTCTCTGCCAATGCTTCTTCCATTTTGATTGTTTTTGCACAGTTGCATCTCCAGGACTAAGTTCTATTTTAGAAGAAATGCCTAAGTTTTCTATCGACAGACAAATCAATAGTCTGCGGGACAGAAGGTCAGAAAAACAGTTCTACTGCCTAGTGTCTGTTTCCCAGTGATTCCTGCATGTTGGAGTGCTTAACAAGGTAGAAAGAAAAAGGGGTGGGGCTTCCTCATATCCTCCAAGCAGGATTGCATCAGGCATTCCCTGTCCCTGTGTCTACCCGGTAGTGTGGATCCAGTCAATGTGTACTGGGAAGAGCACACTGCAGGAGAAGCTGGCAGGCTACACTAGGGGAGGCTGATATAGGGAGATGCTCTCAGAATAGCTCCTGAACTCTCAGAAGATGGTGTGCATGCACTTATCCCAATCTATGCATTCAAGGCTACAGGCCACCCACAAAGTCTTCAGCAGATGGGTCAGAGTTCAGAGAAGAGCAGTGTAGACAGTCCAGGAGCTGATGACATTGATTTATGAGTACAGATTAAAAAGGCTTAGTCTGCATAAGTTAATCTAATGAGGACGAAGTTTTGGTCCTGGGAAGTCCTGACAATAGCCACGGGTGTTAAGGACATGTACACACATGAGGGAAGAGAAGAGAGGAAAGCTAATAGTGACTGGGAGAAAAGGTGCTGAAATCCTGTTGTTGCCATGGTTACCATCATCACCAGGTGACACCCCCACTGTCTCAACTAGAAAATGAAACAAAGCACAGGGTGCTCTCTGGGAGTGAGCATGTTGCCACCAAGGCTTATTCAGATAAGAACAGATCCCATGTGCTTACAGATTCATTCATTCTCAAAGGGGTAGCTGAATGCCCTCCAGTGCTATATTAGGCCCTGGGGATTGGCCTGGGCTGAATGGGACCTGAAGGGTACTCCCTCCTTCTGGAAACTTCATGCTGATAGAGGATGAGAGCAAGAAACAGGATGGGTAAAAATAAACACGGCAGCTTTGGATGGCAAGGAGAGCCATGGAAACAGGAATCCTGATGGGGGATAACAGGAGACTATGACTGAGCCCCGAGCTCCTCAAGTTTAGCTGGATAGCCTATCATGGGCATCCCTGTCTCTTCCTCCCAAGTGTGTGATTATAGTTGAGCCACCACCTGCCCAGGTTTACCTGGCTTCTGAGATCTCAACCCTGGACCTCTCATTTGTGTTTTATCCACTGATCCATCTCTCCTGATCTTAAGTCCCCTTCCCATGTCACCAGAGGAGTGGGCACTGATGAAGCCTCTTGGAAAGGGGGAAGACAAGCCAAGGAAAAATGGACAAGAGTATCCTAGGAATAGAACCAATGCATATGCAAAAGCTGTGGCACCCTGGGCACCTAGACTCATCTAGGGAGAGAAAGTAGGAAAGGGGGTGTTGGGATGGCCAATGATATTGGGCTGAGGATGGAAGCACACAGAACAAGGTCATGATCTCCATATTCATACTAAAGGCTGGAAAACTAAGCCCAGATGTCTGAAGCAGCCAGTGACACACGGGTCCTGGTCTGTTTTAAGCATGGCCAGGGTAGTGTCTTGGCGAGCTAAGCCTTTCTGATTATATTTTCTTACCCTAATATGAAAATTTAATTTGCATTCCCTCAGCACTTACCAGCTGGTTGATGTAGTCGGTTGACCTGGGGGTCGGTTGATTGGCAGGGAGGAGGCTGTGTAGACTGGAAAATTAGCCATGCATAATCTACAGGACAGATAAATGACACTCAGTTATTTAAAGACGGGCAGTAGATGAAATGAATCAAAACAGAGCCACAGCAAACAGGAGATTGGAACAGCAGGGTCTTTTGGTTCTCCGACAATGCCCTGGGTCTTTGGGAATCCTAGGAACAGGCTTCAGACCTGCCGCCTTGAAAATAGCTCTGTGTATAAGAGAGAGATTGTATACTCACCAATTATTCACCAAGGGCTGCGGAACGTAGTGATTTGATTGACACTGCTTCCTGAGCCATACTAGACTTGGCTAAACGGTGTCCTCCACAAATTTGCGAGCCCTTCGACCTTTGGGTTAAACCATCCTGGAGCTTATCAAGGAACTTTCTTGCCTCGTGAGAAAAGGAAAATTCTCAGTCTGTGTGTGTGTGTGTGTGTGTGTGTGTGTGTGTTATGGTGTATGTGTGCACGCATGTGCGTGTAAGTTTGTAGACGTCTGCAAGTGTGTCTGTGTTGCATGCATGTATGTGTGTTCACACGTCTAAATTTGTATATGTTTTCAAGTGTGTGAATAGGGGGTGAATCCATGTGTGTTCATATGTATAAGTGTGTGTCTGCCGCTGACGTGTGTGGTCACATGTGTGTAAGCATCATGTTGATGTCCATGTCCTCCTCAGTTACTCAGCACTTCATCTTTGAGGCAGAGTCTCTTGCTGAGTTTGGAGCTTTGCCAGTTTTTACTAGTCTATCTAAATGGCTTGTCCCCAGGATCCCATCTCTGCCTCCTGAGTGCTGAGGTTACAGGTGGGCCACCGGTGGCATTCCTGTGGGGTCTGGGGACCTGGACTCCAGCCACCATGCTTGTTTCTTTAACTATTGAACCATCTCCTCCACCAATAACTCTTAAGTCCCCTGACAGGCCACTTCGGAAATGCACAGAGATAGTCAAGTATCAGGGTGCTTAAAGACCTGAATTCCACAGCCAGAACCCAAAGAAAACAAACAAACAAACAAACAAAAAGCCAAGGATAGGTGGTGTCTCAAATATAGGTGCCTGAGAAATGTCACCCAAGGATATCCTCTGGCTTCTACATAATGCAGGCACATATATGTGCACATATATACAAACATTCACACACAATACACACACACACACACACACACACACACACGGGATATGCCTTGAATCTTAATACTTGGATAGCTGAAGTAGAAGGATTGCCAAGTATTTCAGGCTAGCCTGGTCTACAACATAACACCCAAAAGGAAGGGGTGGGGGAGGCAAAGAAAGAAATCCTAATGCGAAGACCATATCACTCCCTAGTATTTAATCTCCTGGATTTCACCCTGCGGTCCCCTGCTTTCTGGATTCATCTCTTGGTTGGCCTCACATTAGCTGTGTACATGCATCCTCTTAGATGGCACTTAGTGTGGTATGCCAGCTGTGTACACTTTGGCTCACAATAACTGTCTCCCTTTGTTATCTGAGAGTTCTCTGGGAACAGAAATAAGACCCTCCATGAAGACTTTAGAGTCCCATGAAGACACAGGGCCCACTGATATCCACCAGCCCCCTCTTCTGCTATTCACACTCCACTGCTCTGCTTCCTCAGGGATGACGGCGATCCCCTGTGCCTGCCTGGGCATCTTTCTGGGTGGCCTTTTGGTGAAGAAGCTGAGCCTGTCTGCTCTGGGGGCCATTCGGATGGCCATGCTGGTCAACCTGGTGTCCACAGCCTGCTATGTCTCCTTCCTCTTCCTGGGCTGTGACACAGGCCCTGTGGCTGGGGTCACTGTTCCCTATGGAAACAAGTAAGTACCTAAAGTTTTAACTTGACTCTGCCCAGGCAACCCTGGGCCACCTTCACTGTGGGTTCATAGAGAAATCTCAGCCCTGCCCAGGTCTACCTGGGCTCTCCACCACAGGATAATAGAGCCAACTTGGTCTCTAGTGATTCAGAGCAGAGGAACCCAGAGGCCTTAGCTTCTTATTTGCTGTTGGAAGACTCAGCCTATCCTCTGGATGTTGAGCTGTTCTCCTCCTCAGCAAGACAACCCAGAGTACAGAGCAGTCATTCATTCTCCAGTCCGCTTGCTCTTTCTGACATTTGACTTCAGGAATGATGTGAATAAAAATGATGAGAATAAAAATAAACCCTATTTCAAAATTCTGCTCAAAATAAAAGACAGGATCAATTTCAATAATCCCTTCATGAGTCAGAAGCTCCGATCCAGCTCCCATGGTCATTACCAGGTCAGGCCCATGGTGAGCGTGTTTAAGTGATAGGGAAAGAGAGGGATAAAAACAAGTTGGGAGGGAAGGCAGGAGGAGCAGGAACCAGCCTGTTGCTCCGGGATCTCTTGTCTTATGCCCTGGTTATTATCCTGGGACTATGGAACAGAGTCTCTATACTGATTGCTGTTCAAATAGATTAGAGGACTATATTATCTCTATGTCCACTGTCTCCTTTCCTTACGGGACTCTGAGACTACCCTGAGCTGAAGAGTGTAGCCCAGAACATGCTGCATCATGGCTGCTCTGCAGGTTACACAGCCAGACTCCTCTTCCAGGCAGACCACTGGGCTGCAAGGAAGCCTGGAAATGATGCAGAACTGGGCTCCTCCGCCATCTATTGAGCGTGAGCCAGACCCCTTTCACGGCTCTCCACCCTCCAGGCAGCCCCCAGCTCCTCCCACACAGAGTACCCTCCAACTTGAACTTGGCTGTGAACAGCAGACCTCACGGAGGACTGCTCAACTTGCAAGCAGTAGACTGCGGTGATTAGACATGCACACAGGGTCCCTCCTACTGCCATGACATCATGCTGTAAAGGAGAAAAATAAATAAATAAGTAAAGTTCAAGGCCGACGGTCACACTGCCCAGCTCGAGCCCCTCCTCAACTCTCAGGCACTACATTCGTCTGGACAAAGGAGTCGCCTGGCTCAGCCTTGATTTCCCCTTTGATAATGTTTGTGTGGTTGTACTGAGGACAAGCAAAATAATAACGTAGAATTCCTGCAACAGAGCATGACGAAAGCAACCAGATGTCCCCATGTTACCTGCGTTATCAGGAAGTACTCTGAGCCGTAGGACAGAGCCGGAAATGAGGGGGCTGGTCACTTCCTTCTTCTGGGGCTGCAGACTGGGCTCCCCCATGTGTCTCCTCCCAGTTTGTGCGCTCTTGGTAGCTGCATCTTTGTAATGCAAGAGGCAAGCACAAAGCACCCTAGCATTCACTATATGTCTCTGGATATTGAAGCAATCAGAGGCATATAGCCAGGCTGGGCATCCTGTATGCAGGAAAGGAAGAAGCAAACAGAAGGGATGGGGTGTCCAGCAGCACAGGAATAGTTGCAGGTAAGGGGAAATGAATGACCCTAAGCTGAGCCCCAGCTGCCTTCTGCTCAAAGGGCGCATGGTCACAAGAGGCAACAAGAACCTTCCTCCTTGCCTTGGGAGGTGCCCAGATGCCATATAGCCAGCTACCCAACCCAGTACTGTTTCAAAGGCTACAGACTGGGCTTTCAGCAGGGGCCCTGGACAGGCATTTGCAGGTCAGCCAGGAATAAGATGGAGGGAATGGAAGAGTCGAGCTAGGTAAGCACACTGAACAAGGGCACCACGAAGCCCATCACGGCAGGGTTGTCACCAGTGTTAGCCCAGCTTCTAATGAGTCCCCTTGACCCTTCTTTTCCAGCTCAGCACGTGGCTCGGCTCTTGACCCCTACTCTCCGTGCAACAACAACTGTGAATGCCAGACGGATTCCTTCACGCCAGTGTGCGGGGCCGATGGCATCACCTACCTGTCAGCCTGCTTCGCTGGATGCAATAGCACGGTAATTGAAAACCTTGGGATGCAGGGGAGAGGGCAGGCTCCAGGCAGCCAGAGCTGCTCTCGGGCCTGTCAAGAGCCAGAGTGGGCAATACCATTTTGTTTTGGTTTGGTTTTTGCCTTGCTGCCGCCATTCGTTTGCCCTGATCCATCAGGAAGACGTCAGAACAAGGCAGTTCCTTAGGCCTTTGCTGAGTCAAGTGGGCCTCTAAGACACTTGATGGAGCAACTGAAAGTAAAAATCAAAGGGGACTATGCATATGCAGCCGGGAAGGTGGCTGTGGCATGAGATACTCACAAAAGGTGGCAGGGAGTAAGGCTGTGTATAGCAGTGAGCTGCCTACCTTGGAATTCTTTAGAATTGGAAAGGCTGGGTTAAAGCCAGAGGCTGACTATAGCTCAGCATCATCCCTTCCCAGGTCCCTTTGCCTCTTTCTTCCCAATTAAGTGTCTCTCACCCACTTCTTTCTTCCCAGAGTATTTTTTTAGTTTGTTTTTGTTTTGTTTTTCTCCTCCTCAACATGAATTTTTAATATGGCCACCAGTTTGCCATCTTCCCGTTCTCTGTGTGAACATCTGGTGCCAAGTGACCCCTGGTGCAGCCTGGTTTCTCCCAGCTTGCAAGACACCTCTGCACCTTTTCTTTGTGTCACACTGCCATTGTGGCTGTGCAGGCTGTCCTTCTCCTGTTTAGACCTGTGCTAGCCTTCTAGGACAACCCTCCTCTACTGTCACCCACACTACAGCCAGAAGGATTTCTCTGACACTACAGATGACCAGCTCACATGCCCTCCTGTAGGGTGCTAAGCCTGGTCCATGTCCATCCTCAACTCTCATCTCCAGCCTTCTTCTCTAAGTGGCTGTTCAGTCTTCTCTCTGCAGTTTTCTTCCTGCACTTCTCTCTTCAGTTGGACAACTCTTATTGACCCCTCAATACACTATCCCCGATGCCCACTACTCTTAAATGATCCCTTATTCCTCCCCTCGGAGTTCTTGACTTTGAGTCTTCGGGTACCTGTTCCTTCCTGGATGTATTTGTCTCTTTCATGGTAGCAATCTTCTGGAAGTGTCTGTCTTTGATCTTTGGGTTTCTTCAACTAGGGATACTACTGCCCCAGACGTACTCCATAATTTCTCAAACAATGCACAGATGGGAAGGAAAAGATGACAGCCATGGGGGCTGTTTCCAGGGAAGTAATTCAGTCATTTATTTCCTCCTGGTCCTGCCTCCTGCATCTTAAAGAGCAGCAATTCCCTGAAAGGAAAAAAATGAATCATTTGTTTTCATTTTCAAAGATTTCATTTTTGCTTGCTTTTAAGATTTAGATTCCTGGCCAGTTATTAACATTTTCTATAAAGGAAATAAATCACCGCAGATTGGGGGCTGGGAGGACCCGATTTCATAAACTAGATGATAAAGCAATTTCTTTATGTGAGGAGAAGTAAATATTAAAAGGGGGTTGGGACCTGGAGACTGGTTCAAATAAAAACACAAGCTATTATTTCTCATAAGGACAACTTCATTGACATTTTAATATCCAGAGAGTTCTGTTAAACAGTCCGTTTCAGCCATTGTCCTGTGATGAAGCCATGTCCTGAGACCCAAGAGGCCTTTGCTCTAGGGGCACTGACCCAAACCTGCAGCATCTGCATTTTCTCTGCTCTTGCACAGATAGGAGGTCTGTTGAGTCGCAGTCCCTCCAAGACCATTTGTTCACTTGCAGCTGCTGGAGCTGAAGAGCTAGAGGATCTCACTCTAAGAGAGAAGGCTAGGACTGATGTTGGGACATGATGTTCATTCCCTGGACACCTGCTCTCCATTCTAACTCAGAGCCGCACCTTGCCTACTGGGGTAGTCATGGGGTCCTACTCTTTTCCCTCTGAGGCAATCAGCTAGGTGGCCCTGGCTACTTCCAGCTGCCATAGGAAAGTCTTGGAGATAAGAGTCCTGTTTATAATAAACAGGACCCTTGTAGTAGTTAAGCCAAAAAAAAAAAATCCTCCAACAACAACAACAAACAAATGAAACAACAACAACAACTTCTGCTGCAGACTTTACAAGAACTCCAGGCTGAGATACTGTGTCAGGCCAGGTAATGGGTCCTCTCTGCTTCATTTCTGGCCTGTGAGAGCTTGGCCTGGAGTCAAAAGAAACCTTGGGATAACATCCAAAAAGAGCCAAAGGCAATTTGAGTCTTTAGACTCTCTGCAGCAGTATTTTGAAGGAATGTCAAACAAAGGCTTACATTCCTAGTATAGGATTCCCTTCCCCCTCCCATCCCCTTTCCCTCTTTTTAGCTTTGTTTCCTTCTGGTCCCTAGGTACTCTTGTCCACATGAAGGGCCCCCTTCCCTCTCCCATTTTCCGAGACTTCTTTCTCTGACTTTAAGTGGACACAGCCCTTTCCCGTGAGTCTCCTGGGCTCTTCTGCCCTGTCTGTATCTCTGCGTGCACTCTTCCATAGGACTCTTGTGTCAGCTCATAAAGATCACACCGTAGAGGGTGTTAGAATTCTGAGACTCTCTGACCCAAACCCAGAATCTTTCTTTGCACTCTGCCACTCTCTTTCAGCATGCTCCCCGTTTTTCTACATGAAACTGTCATCCTTCATGCACACTACCTGCATGTAATATGTTGAGCCTTCACGTCTGCCGTAGCTGCCTGTCCAGCCTCAATCTCTCTCATCCCAGTCTCCTAACCAACCACTTGTTAAGTGAAACTGTCCCAACAGCAAAGCTCTCCTGGAGATTTGCATGTGCCATTCCTTTTATATAGAATAGTCTCCCTGTGTATGTGAGTCCTGTCTTGTCTACCCACTAGGGCTCTCTTTACCCATTCCCTGCTCCTACAGAGCTGTTGACTACCTCAGCACTATTTCAAAACAATGTTCATGTCCTTCCAATTCCACCTCTCCTGTTCTCTCCTGGCAAGAGTCAGCCCATCTCTTCCAATGTCTCATTTACTTAGGCAGCTCTATCCCTCACCAGAGACAGAGATGAGGCTATATTGTAGACCTTTGCCCCCACAGAGCCAGCTAGAGCTCCAGGTAAAGCCTCAGACTTCCTAAGTGTCCCTGGGTGATCCCATGCAACCTCCATCAGGTGACTACACAGGATAACACTCCTGGACAGCAGTTGGCAAGCAGGTAGACCAGATGGTTTTAATTTCAAGGTACATTCTTATCCTCTTCAGGTCTCCCTCTGCCTCTCTTAGTCTCTCTCTCTCTCTATATATATATATATAGAGAGAGAGAGAGAGACAGACAGACAGACAGAGATAAATAGATATATATCATATACATATACATAATCAGGACCTATGAAAAGTCTACCTCAGATCTGCATTAGATGCAAACAAGTCAACCAATCAGATCATTGAGATGCTAATGAAACACAGTAAGTATCAGATGTCCCTATCTTTACTTTCTTTACTGTCTTAGTTGGGGTTTTTTGTTTGTTTTAATTTTCTTCTTTCATTTCTCAAGTGATAACAGTTGAAGTTCCTGGCCCACATTCGCTGTTATGTTTCTAAACCCTGTCGTTGCCTGTGGTGGTGGTGGGGGGGGGCAGATGACAAAAAGCTGGAGTTAATTTTATCAGCCTTCTTTGGTGTGAATATATTGCTCAGATTGTTTGCATACCTTTCACTTTCAGAAGTAATTATTCAAGCAGAAAGCATGTGTGTATTATGCCGGAAGTTATGTCCATCTGATGGACTGAATAATTGACTCAAGAGAAAAACAGCTTTTATTAGTCACCAATAGGTTAAAAGTCAACACAAGCCAAGCACAGCAGTTTGTAAGGTGTAAATGACAGATGGCTGATCTACCACCATCCAGGCCACACAATATTTACCAAGTGCTGTTAGAGCAAGGCATCCAGTGCATTCTCAGCAAGAAGGATTCTATCTGGGGGCTTGCTGGGAACTGGTGATTCCACCTTGCAGGCCTCAATATAGCTACATTTTAGAATCCCTGAGGACTTCCACAATGAAGGGTCTGAGCCTTACTCAGAGATTCTTCCTTTCTTATTTTTAAGGAATTTTTCTGTGATCTTTTTAAGCCTTTCAAGTGTTCTTAGTATGTGAACAGGATTGGAAGCCACTGTGGTAATAGACTGTTTCTACACCTTGACCTTGAGGGTGTTTTAAGGTAGACGATTCTTTCTCTTTAGGAACTGTCCTATGTACCATAGTATGTTTAGAGCTGTCCTGTGTACCATAGGATGTTTAGAGCTGTCCTGTGTACCATAGGATGTTTAGAGCTGTCCTGTGTACCATAGGATGTTTAGCCACATTCATGAGCTTTATCCACACAGCCTTCAACTTTATCTAACAATCACAGATGTCCTCAGATATAGCCAGGTGTCCCTGGGGACACTACAGCCCTAGAAGGGAACACTACAGCCCTAGAAAGGACAAGGCATGTTCTGAGATCTCCATCCTCTGAGCTAATGCCCTCTCTGCCTTACAAGCCAGACAGTGTTGGAAGTGCCCTGTCAGCCTGTACAGCCCAAACTGCTGATGGATGCTAATCATGCATGCATACCCTAAGGACGAATTTCTCATGGCCAAGCCATATTAAATCATGCATTTAGCTTGGAGGTTTTGCATGTGATTCTAGATTTGGGCCTCTGCGAGAATGCTGGAAGATAGCCAATGGGTATCGAACAGCCAGGATGTGGCTTGTCCTTCCTTATTTTCTATGTAGCCACAGTCCACAGCAACAGCCACCCTCACACCTCAGCCACTCTTTCTTCTGTGTATATTTCCCTCTGTGATCCCACAGACATGAGTTGAACAAAGCCTCTCCTATAGCATGGACAGATCCCCAACACCAATTTAACAATCTGTGCTTATCCAAGTAATGGCTTGTTAGAGAGACCTATGGAACACTCCAATAAAGCCCTGCTAGAGTTTGACCCAGTTGTGACACCTACTACATCTCAGGCCCTGTGCTAGGCATCTGTGCTAGGCAAAGATGAATTAGATCCAGGGCCTGTGTTT